GATGACCACGGGTTCGGATGACCCAAAATTTATACATAAATTCGCCCCTGGTTGTGATGAGCTTTTATATATATATGTTTAGATTGATTTTAGGTAAAAAAAACAACAAGGATTGACCCAAAAATGAATTAGAACTCAAATCAAAGTGTCCCATACTAAAATACAACCAAAGTAGGCTAAATAAAATGTGGTCCGTAATACGGGGCACAGACCATGTGTTGGCCCTCACGCCGCACCTGTTGAAACTTGATTCTATGGGGAAAATTTTATGTGATGGACATGCGATCGACACACTGAAAAGACGACAATGAGTCTGAGATAGATCTCGCGATGTAGATCTCCTGCTCCGCGATGGAGTCTGCACCGCACACTAGAGTTTTACAGATCCAGAGTTGACAAAGTTAAAGTAGAGTCCAATCAGGATTAGAATTCTCGTTCAACTATTATAAATAGATCATAAGCACAACATTTTTAGGATTATGTTCTATCAATAGAATTTGGTTTTGCATCATTCTTTATTATGAACTACTTCATACTTGTTTTTAGTTTTAGTTATTGCTTTCATACAAGATTATTGTGGTACAAACATATACACTTGCAAGAACTGCATTAATCAAATGTTTAGATAGAAAATTTTCATCTTAATGTTCTTTAGTTATTTCAATTACTTTTATTATTATTTGCAACTAGTTATGAATAGTTAAATCTTATAACTAGGTTAATGAAACATTCTTTACATTGATATCAATCTTTAGGTGTGATCATTGTGTGTTAAAATTCTTTCGTAAAAAATTCAATGTTAGTTGTTCAAATCGGGCATGAACCCATTCTACATTGCTCATAAAAATAGTTATTTCATATTAGTTGTCCATTTTACTAAATCACAAAAACATCAATTCAATTTTTCCTATATTACCCTTGCAATTAATTCTTTTTTTAAAGTGTTCACATTTTTGTTTGTAAAACTCCCAAGAAGCTTTTTAAGGGGTGAATTAGTAAAATTATTTTCTCATTTATGATTTTTTAAACATAGTGTAAAATAAAAAGTGATCAACTAATATGAAATGGAGGAAGCCCATAAATAGGGAGTTGGTCCGACCTTCGACAGTAACGTGTGGCTTTTCTCCGGAGTGCTTAAGATGCATTAACATCTTTCATCAACTTACTATCTTGCAAGTACTTTAGCAATTCGTTACGCCAATCCCATACAAGGTTTTATAAGAAACTTAACTGATAACAAAAAAAATAAATTATTCACAAAAGTTATTAACTTTCTCAATTATTCTGCAAATTAAATTTTATTTACCTACAAGTTCATATTCCAAAAAATTCTAGATGAATTTCGTTATATTCAAAGCCCAGGTTTACTTTAATTCTTTCAAAAAAAATTTCTAAAACAATATCTCTCACACACCATTAATGAGTGTATTACATTCTCTATATTATCATGTCATTAAAAAGTGTCAAAAAGCATACTTGAAAAATGGACAAGGTCTACTTAAGGTGTCTAAATGAAAGTTTATGGATGTTTAAAATAAACAAGACCTACTTGAGGTGTCTAAGTGAAAGTTGCTGATAACTTTAATAGGTTGGTGTCGATGGATTTCGTCTTTCTTCAATGAACGTGTACGGTTACCTTCATATGTGTGTCTTTGAATTTTTGGCCAAAAACATCCTTAAACTATAAACTACATCCTTAAAATATCTTTTTTTTGGCAAAAAACATCCTCTGAGTATTTGAAAGTTAACAATTTTCATCCTTCTATTAGATATCGTCAAAAAACTAAGGGATCCTACAAAAACATGAGCAGTTCACGTGACTATCAACAAAAGTTTTCTTGCATAATTTCATTACCTGCTATAAGAAGTTCCTGATTTTTTAAAAAAAAATCTTAGACATCAACAAACGCCGCTTCTAGCATATTCAATTGAGAAGAAATATATTTCAATTAATAATATTTGTAATATCAAATTACATGAAAAATAAATGGAAAAAAAACCCATCAAATTAAAAGATTATGCATAATGCTAAACTCAATTACCGAAAAAGTTCACGATAGTATTTTTAGCGTATGTAAGAATAATAATTACAAAGGGATGACTTGATTTTTGTGGGATCTGTTAGTTTTTTGATAAATTCAAGTAGAAGGATGAACATTGTTCAATTTTAAATATTTGAAGGATGTTTTCTGCTAAGAATAATACTTTAAGGATGTAGTTTAAGTTTGGAGTATAGTTTAAGGATGATTTTGGCTGTGTATTTATACACAAGAAGGAAATTAAAAGTCATAAGAGTCCTACAGGTTATCATACGTGATAGCCAAACCTTATAATCACAATCTATTTTAGCATATAACGTGTGTATATACTCTAGGTTAAACTAAGAGCAACTTTTACATATAGCAAACACAAAATTCATATTTGTATGCTATAGCAAAGTTTGCATAATTGCGCTCCATAGCAAACATAAATATGTATATTTCGCTATACATATACAAAAGAAAGCAGCTGTATAATATGTTTTGGTATACATATACAAAAAGATCAATTGTATAA